AGTGCGTTAAATCTTTATTTTTCAGTTGCCTTTCCCAAAGAAATAGTTTACATTTGAATGCTTTAATTGTGTTCAAACATGTTCGTAATGATCTGATCCTTGCCTTGTAACAATAAATTTAAATCGGATAAGTGTTCGGTTATATGAACCATAAAAGATAAATCTTGCAANAAATTAAAATTAGCCAGCTTTTTATTGTTCATTTTATCCAGTTTATGATAGATAGTAGAGACAAAGTCTTTCTTTCTTTATTTATTTAAACAAAACTGGGTGCCGAGACGGCGCAGCGGCCCCTACCCCATTCATCATGAAAATTATATACAGTGAATAAAACATTTTGAATTATGTAACAATGTGGTAACATTATAATAAAGTAACCATGATTAGAAGTATGTACAAACTTGATCGGAGATTTACATTAATTGCCATTGAAAAATGAATACAGCCATGATTAGACGGATATACATGAAATACGAGCTTAATCAGTGATATTTACATTAATTGCAGTAGAAATTTTGAATTGAGCAATTAAAATTGATGATAGCATATATACAGAAAAATGTAAGACTAAAATGAAATAGTAAAAATCAGATAAGTATTAGGTTTTGTAGAAATAGGTGGTTACTAATAAAGTGTTGATTTTAAAGTGATACAATACGTATTGTTTGAAATTCACTTTAAATTAAAATTTATCACAGCTTCAAAGTGTAGTTAATGCAATTGACTAAAAACAAACAAGTTTTATTTTATTCCTTTAATGCACTATAATTGGCAAAGTAAGTTGCTTTAAAGATTTTATGTAAGACTGAAATACCGAATCAAATTCATAGTTTAATGAAGGAAATTTCCGTTTTAAATTATAGTTTAGGTAAACGAGTTTCTAAATCCACTTTCTGGAAAGTAACGATTTTAAGGTACTAAAATATTTTGCATATAAGTTTAATTCTTGTTTTAAATTATTCAAAGTTAGATTTTATAACGCCTATTTTTGAGCCCAGGGACTGTTTGACTGTTATTTTTCATGTTTATATATTTTTCTAGCCAATAAAATTTTAATCAGGTAATATCAGGTAATATCTTGAATTACGAAATTATTCACGAGTTCTTTTCTGCACCCATATATATTTCCTTTAAATTAAATATTTATTGATATCTTAAAATCAGGGGTGTCAAACTCAACAGCTAACTTGGGCCAAATAAACAATGCTTAACTTTAGGTAGGCCGCAAAAAAGAGAAAAAAAAAGAAATCAATGTTCATGGAAACAAATATTTTTATTTTGAATAATACATTGTAATAAACATATATAAAGTTAAATTACTGTTTGATACTTGACATCTCTTCTCTGCTACTATCTTTCCTATTTCGGAAGAAATTTTATTGGCCGAGACTATTGACCCAAAGTGAGCGTTATTAATACGGTTTCGGACAGGAGATTTATTTCCATTCCTAACAGAAAATAATTGCTCGCACTGATAAGTACTTCCAAACATGGAATTAATTTCATATGCGAATTTTCGAGTATTTTCGAACTTTCCGGTAAATATTTGTACAATTCAGGCACCACCCACTTCAATGAATTTTGCCTTCAAATTTGAGTCGCACTGAATCCCAATCACTTCCATTTGCATATTACTGGGTACTGAGTCTATGTTTATTGAGAAAATCGAAGAAAACAAACAAAATTTATCTTCCAAAGAATTAAAATCTTTAAATCCTGTTTTAAATTCTGTTCTAAGATTTGAAATTTTTTCTGCGTATTTTTGATGCGATGCAGTATCATCTAAACTAGATTTGTTCTTGTTGCACGTTGGGAAGTGCGTTAAATCTTTATTTTTCAGTTGCCTTTCCCAAAGAAATAGTTTACATTTGAATGCTTTAATTGTGTTCAAACATGTTCGTAATGATCTGATCCTTGCCTTGTAACAATAAATTTAAATCGGATAAGTGTTCGGTTATATCAACCATAAAAGATAAATCTTGCAATCATATTTGATCGGAGAACAAGCTTGTATTTTTATTTTTTGCTTGAAAAACTTACATATTTCTTCTTTCCAATCCCAGAATTGTTTGAGAACCTTGTATCAAGATAACCAACGTACCTCGCTATAGTAGAATAAACCTGAATATGTACTATCTGATTCACTTAAGAAAGCAGTGAATTGTCGTTGATTTAAGCTTCGAGATCTTATAAAATTTATAACTTTTTTTATATATGACAAAACATTCTACATTTTGATTACCTTCGTGCATAGTACTTCTTGATGTATAAATACAGTGCGTATGATGAATTTTTGAACCGTGAATTTTACTAAGTTTTCGTTGCAGTAATGCTACGAGGCCGTTGTTTTTTTCCGGTCATGGGAGGAGCGCCATCTGTAGCTACAGAATATAATTTTGACAGAGGTAGATTGTATTTTTGCAGAAGTTCGAAATTCACATTTCTATTTTATTTTTACTTTGCGTAGGATGTATTGACTGCGCCGCAAAAATGTTCATCTTGGGCCGCGAGTTTGACATCCCTGACTTAAAACATCTAGATCAGGGGTTTCCGACTTACATGAGGCCGGGGACCCACAATTAAAAACACAAATCAAATGGCGGGCCGCAACTTTATCAAAATTTTATGTAGGACTCCTTTATGTTTGAGGGAACATTAAATATTACTGTCAGATTTTTACCAAGTTGCACAAAACAAAAGTATTGAATTACAAATTAAAATAAGAAGTAGATTTTTAAAAATATTTAATTGCAGTTGGAGAAAACACCAAAG